GATTCTTGTTTTTTTAAATCACATGTATTGTGTTCTATGTTTCCCCTTTTCCCCTTTTGAGTTGTTTGCCACCCTGAGTCCCTCCCAGAGAAGGGCGACATACAAATAAACTAAATCTGAAATCTGAATATGTGATAGCAAGACAGGGTATCATGTAGAAATGGAATCTACTCACATAATTTGCTGAATCTTTGTCATTGCACTTATAATATAATGTCCCCCAATATGCAAAATGGATTCTACTTTTTTTTAAAAAATCTGAATATTAGACGTTCTATATCCCTTTTCACAGTTCTAAGGATAATGTAAATGCACACAGTTGCCATGGTAACAACATTCATTTATTAAATCTGGCTATTTAATAGCCTAATAGCCAACTATTTGGAATACTTTCAGGCTACCATGAGCATATGTGGTAGTGACCATCTACCCAAAGCACTCTGTGGCTCCAATCCATTCTGTGTCAAGCATTTGTTCTAAGAATCTCTGAAATAGCCTTTAAAAATATAATAATTTAAATCCCTCTGCAGTAAATTTAGAGACTGAACTCCCACACATTTATACATTTCTAAATAAGTAAAATTATCCCTTTCTCGCCCCTGCCCACCCACCACCTAACTAAATCCTTTGAGAGGGGGAAAAAACTGGGGGGGATGGAAGAAAAATTGTGGAAAATCTGGTTTGGTAGCAATGACTGCTATTTTTAGAAAAGAGCATTCACTGTAAATTTCTTTACAAACTCTCCCTTGTTTCGCTTCTATTTGCACTTTTCAGGAATGAGTGCTTGTTTTATGCAGGCAAAAAAATGGAAGTCTAGCAAACTGGGAGGATTCTGTACTTTGCTGGCATATAAAAAAAATGATTTGTAGCTCAGGGAATTGGGGATTAAGTGGGGAGGGTGACCAAAAAGCTTAGTAAGGACTAAGAGAATACTTAGGGTACATAAAATGTTGCAATGACCTATGCTGACTAGAATTGAATAAAGGCCCCCTCATATGTTGATGAAACAGAGTTAATTGAAGTAATAAAGTTAAATTAAGCATTTGATTCTTACCTGAATATCCCTGTAAGATAACAGCAGGTTTATCACGATGTCAGCAGACAAAAGCTCAATGTTATCCACCCTTTGTCTTATCCTGGCTAATTCTGCAGCTAATTCCTTCCCAGTGTACAAGTTACGAGCTTTTCTGATATCATTAAGAATTGATTCCCTGAAGTATTGGCTAGAAGGGAAAAGAAATAGTCATTATAAACCTCAATGTTACAAAAGAGCCCCATGGCTGTCTGTTTTAGAGCAACTAATACAATGGGCAAAACTGAACCAGGAATATTGACCTAATTAAGGATTGCAAATATGAACTATGTAATGATTTATTTTATTTTGTGCCATGAGGTTGGTGCTGAATCTCAGTGACCACCCTGATGGAGCTTCTCCAGGATAATTTGCCCCTAACCTGGGCCTTCAGATCTTTCAAAATGTACCCATTGACTCTGTTATCAGATTATCCATTTTGGTTTCTCTTTTCTCCTTCCTTCCAGCTTTCCCGGTATTGTAGATTTCTCAAGGGAGTTGGGTCTTCACATAATGTATCCAAAATATGACAATTTGATCTTGTTTATTTGTGCCTTGAAAACGTTGAATTGACTTGTTCTACGATCCATGACATGTCAAAAGTTCCTCAAATGTTCTCAAGTCATGGAATATAAGCATTGTCATTTAATTCAGTTTACTGGCTATCTGACAGACCTGTCACTGGCTACATATTTTACTCATAAGTCATTTTTCACCAGGCAGATCTGTTTTTCTTGTGCTAATCAGGCTGTGTGTTGCAAGGAGGTAAGTCAACAACTATAAATGCCTATAGAATGTTCAAATTATTAGACTTATTTTTTAAAGACTGCTTTATTATTATTCTAG